AAAAAACTTCAGAAGAAAAGTGAAAAGACAGCCCATAAAATGAAAGAAAATATTTGCAAATCACATGTATTTTGTTCAAACTAACAATAAAGGGACAGTCCCAGTTTACAATGGGCAGAGGATTTTGACTAGACATTTGTCAAAAAGAAAGGATATTCAAATGGCCAGTGAGTAGTGAGTACATTAAAAGATGCTCACCATCATTAGTTACTAGGGACATTCAAATGAAACAGTTGAACTGCCTCTTCTTACGACTGGGGTGGCTAAAATCAAAATGACAAAAGCAGGTATTGGCAAGAATGTGGAATATTGGATCTGTCTTGTATAGCCCTTTAGAATATAGTTTGAACCAGGCATGGGGCACACACCATTAATCTCAGCACTTAGGAGACAGAGGAAGATGGATCTGTCAGCCAGCCTGGACTACATAGCAAGGTCCAGGCCAGCTGTAGCTACAGGGAGACCCTGGTCAAAAAAGCAGAAAAGGGGCTAGAGAGATGGCTCAGGGGTTAAGAGAAGTGGCTGCTCTTGCAGAGGACCTGGGTTCAGTTCCCAGCACCCACATCACAGTAACCATCCTTAACTCCAGTTCCAGGAATCTGACTCTCTCTTCTTAAGCATTGCATGATACAGGTGCACTTACATACATGCAGGCAATATACTCATACACATAAAGATAAAAATAATAAAATACTTTTAAAACAACCCTCCCCCAAAGAAGAAAGAAAATAGTTTGGTAGTTCCACAAAAAGCCAAATATAAAACACACAGAACTGCTACTGTGTGATGTAGTAGTTCTACCAGACATACCCAAAAGAATTAAAAACATTCACATAAAATTTTACAGATTGGTGTTCATTGTAGCATTATTCTTAATAGCCCTAAAATGGAGATATCCAATATCCATCAGCTGACAGATGGATTAAATTAAGGTGTTATATGTCCATACAATAGAATAGTATTTATAAAAAGAAATGAAACCAGTGTGGTGGTGCAAGCCTGTAATTCCAGTACTTGGAAGATAAAGGAAAGAGGATCAGGAGTTCAAGGGCATCCTCTGCTACATACCAAGTTAAAAGCCAGCCTGGGCTGCATGAGTTCCTGTCTCAAAAAAAGAAATAAAATTCACACATGCACATCACATATACATGCATACATACAGAAAATTTTTTAAGTTTATTTTTAATTTTATGCGTATGGGTGTTTTGCCTGCATGTAAGTTCACCCATGCCTACAATGCCCATAGAGGCTAGAAAAGGGCATCGGATCTCCTGGAACCTGGGTCCTCTGCAAGAACAGTCAGTGCTTTTCATCACTGAGCCATCTCCAGCCCCCAAATAAATAACTTTCTTAATTGAAAGATAATAAATGAAAAAAGGATACATGCTAAAATATGGATAAACCTTGAAAGCATACTAAATGAAAAGCCAGACACCAAAGACTGCAGTAGTCTGTAATTCATTCATATGAATGTACAGAATAAGTCCATAGAGACAAAAGGCAAGTGAATGAATGGCTCTTTGGGGTTTGAGGACAGAATTTGAGAGTGGATGTTAATGGTGTGGAGCTGCTTTAGGCATGATGGAGACAAAGTTTTTATTTAGAGCCTGAGACAAGTGTTCTGATATTAGTGATGATCGTTCTACAACTCTGTATTAAAAATTACTGAATAGGGGACTGAAGAGACAGCTCAGTGGTTAAGAGCACTGGCTGCTCTTGCGGAGGACCGGAGTTTGGTTCCCAGCACCCACGTGGTGCCTCACAACCATCATAGCATCATAATCCAGGGGATCTGACACCCTCTTCTGGCCTCTGTGGACATTGTATTCATGGGTGCACTTGACATCTTTATGGGGACAGCTCTGACAGTTTACCTACTTCCTGTTACTGCTTTACTGTTTTATCTATTGAGTCTAGTTTATTTTGGGGGGAATTTTTTTCCCAAAGTAAAGAAATATAAAACTGGTCAAAGAGGGACAGCCCTCTGGGAATCTTCATTCTATCTGTCACCAAAAGTAATTCAGGAAATCACATGCTTAAGACTTTTTTTGTTCCATTTGCCTGATAGTTATCAGACAGTGCACTCTTCCTTGGGCCATATGATTCTTATTCTAAAACTCCTTATTTAAATGAGATACAGTGTGTGTCTGTCTGCCTGCCTACCTGCACATGTCCTCGCAGAACAGGAGGTAGAGGGAAAAAAATCAGTTTCTTAGAGTGAAAGGACTTTTTAGACCAACTTGTAGAAAAACTTAAGTTTGAGTGACTATGGATTCACCAATGTTTTTGAGGTGTATGTACAGGTAGAGACCTACATTGCGATTTCCTTTGTTTTATATTTGTTGCCAAAGTGGGTGGAATGAATCACCTCCGGGAGAATGGCATCGTGCACCGTGATATCAAGCCAGGAAATATCATGCGTGTCATAGGGGAAGATGGACAGTCTGTATACAAACTCACAGATTTTGGTGCAGCTAGAGAATTAGAGGATGATGAACAGTTTGTTTCTCTGTATGGCACAGAAGAATATTTGGTAAGTTACATATCATTGGTAATTTCATTTTAATAAGCTAGATATGTTGCATATGGAGTTACTGGTCAACCAGTCTACTGTCTATAAAATGTTACGTAATTTTTATGACCATTGCATTTTCTGTTCCAATGAATAATATCTAAGAAGAAAATTAGGAATTGATTTCCAAGGATGCTGTCAATATTCTATTAAAAGTTCTGAGAAGTTATTCTGGTTCTGGTGACTCATACCTATAATCCCCACACTTGGGAGGCAGAAGCAAGAGAATAGGTGCAAGTTTAAGGCCAGCCTGGTCTATAGAGATTGTGCCAGGGCAGCCAAGGTTACATAATGAAACCCGGTCTTAAAAGAAGAGAAAAACCAACAACAAAAGTTCTTGGTTGTTTTATAGCTATATACTAATGCAGTGGGTTTGTATTAAAAAGAAAATAGCAAACAAAAAAAAGAAAATAGCATCTGAAGACTCAAGAAGTGTCTAGCCAATAAAAGCTCCCATTTTTGGTTCAGTGCAATTAGGAGTAAGAAGTTTTATATCATTTCTTTATTGTGTGTGTATATGTGTGTGCATGTGCACATGTACCATGGTGCCTACATACACCATGTATGTCCCAGGGATGAAACTCAGGTCATTGGGTTTAGTGGCAGGTGCCTTTACCTACTGAACCATCTTGCAAGCCCAGAGGTTTCTTAATGTTTTTGTTCGTGTTGGGGGATAGGGTCTCATGTAACATAGGCTAGTCTCAACCTTGATATGTATGTAGCTATAGCTGGCCTTAAACTCCTGATCTTCTATTTCTACCTCCTGAGTGCTAAGATTACAAGCATGGGCCATCAGATACAGCTAGGGTTTTTCTTGTTAAGTTTGTTTTGAGTGCTCATATACATGTCTCTGTGCGTGTGTGTGTGTGTGTGTACACATGCACCAGTGCGCATATATATATATATATATATAT